AATTATTCTAAGAGGTAGCTTTGAGTGTAGAGAGTTCATTTGTGTTGTCCTTATAGTAAGAGGTCGCTGGACCTAGCCACAATCCTAGTTAGAAGTTTCACCAGGATTTTCTCAAAACCTCCATTTTTGCCCGAGGTAAGCCCTTAGATATATCTAGTGATTAGAATGTTCGTATATGTAATGCTCCGAAACCCGGGTTAGTATTTTTAATTAATTTATATAATTAATCAATTACTGAGTTGGTCAATACGAAGATTATTTTCTAATTTGTGTATTTTATTTGAGAGTTGACCCACGTTCTAGGGCTCGTTGTTCTGAACCCGATCACAAAAGCGGGTTGAGAATCATATTTACTAGGCCCAAGATACGACTGCCGAAAAAGGTAATTGGGCTTAAATCTATTCTAATTGGTTAGGAAGTGTAAACTGGACCCTAAAATCTATTTAAGTGTAAACGGGCCTTGTGGAGCATGTTTGCATATGTAGTGGTCCATGGTTCAAAACGTACGTATGGGAGTCACTGTTCTACCTTAGGGATTCATTGGAAGAGACTCCAACCCGCCCATTGAGGATTCTCTTTGGGTTTGTCCGAGCATCGGCCTCGAGGGATTCACTCGAGTGTCTGTAACTCGAGTCTGTTGAATCTAGCCTTGGTGTTGTAGGGATAGACATAGCCCTTGGGAATAAATGATTTGGGACTGTTGGATCCTTGTATCTGGAAATAAATGTTGATTGTTCACTGATGTTGCTGATTATATAAATGTGATACTATCCCTGAAATTAATTCTAGTGTTAGATATTTCTTTCACTCAGCTTTCAGCTGAGCATGTAGTCTTGTTGTCTTTGACTACACGCAGGTAGGGATTTGGATCAGGAGGACGAGCCCAGAGGACGTTGATGCACGACGCCGTGGATGATGTCACCATTTTTATTATGGACATTTAATTATGTGCTTATTAATTACTTGGTATAAACATTGATTGTAGAACTGTATTTTAAGGCTTCCGCACATGATAGATTTTACTCCAAACCTTTCGTATTTAATTCGGTGTTTGGATGTCTATTTTTGAATAATTTGTCAAAATTGTTGTGCCGTGAATACCATATTAGTAGCAACCCGATTCGTTAACTCCTTGGTTCGGGTTACGCGAGTTGGGGTGTTACAGTATAGATCGTTTCTACGTTCATAAGCGATCGTTTGGTTGAGTTTTGTGTTTGACATGCTTGAAGAACCAAGGATCATAAACCTTGAAATTGTTGTTAAAACTACAAATAAATGATACCAAAATGATCTATGAACTTTGGAGAACATTTCTATATAGTTAATTGATGTTTGATGATTAAAAATGAAATTTTTTAAAACTTGCTAGAGGTTGAAGATGACACTCTTTAAAACTCGGACAAACACGGTAACGAGCTACCGCCCCGCAGGTACCATCACAAGCCAGAATTCATTGGTGGTATCTAACATCAGGCAATACCCCATGTTGGACATGAGTTCAAACCCCTTTATTATTTTTCTGGAATATTTTTGTTTTGATAAATGACAAACAGGATGATGAAATTCAAACGATGATCGAAAATTTACTTTTCGTACCGAGAAAAGAATAGAGGCGTATCAAGAAAGTTACGGGATAAAAATCAACGGTCCCCCAACGCAGTTTTTCGAAGTGATGTGAAGACTCCGAAGACTTTTTAATTTTTATTGTGTCTAGGATTCTTGTAAGGATGACAATATCTTGTGCACAAAACAATTTAATTTCTGAGGGATAAAAATTATTTTTGAGTCAGTTGAAAAATCATTTTTTCTCTGTCTAAAATATTTTAGTGAGTCAATCTCAAAATAAGTGTGTCAAAATTTCTTTAAACATTTTCTTAAAGTTACACAATTTTCTTTGGTGAGAAAAATATACTTTAAATTTTTTT